GCGGGGCGGGGGGCCTGCCGTTCCCGGCGCGCGCCGGTAGGTCCCAGCCCTGAGCAGAAGCATCAGCGGAAAGCTGCCAGTCAGTGATTATAATTTATTATTCATTTCTGTTATAGGTGGGGTGTGCAGACAGTTACAGTAATAATTACCAAGACTGGAGCGTTTCCTAGGCAACGGGGTTTTTTTCCTCCATTCATGCTGTTGCGGCGAGTGTGCCTGTAAAGCATGACATCGCTGTATTCGGGGGTTTGTTGCCCTCCCGCTGCTCCAGGTTTGAGGTTAGTTACAGCATCATAAGGTGCTCTCAAGCATAAAAAGCTCAGGCTGGGATTAAAGCACGCGGGGAACGCTGTCGCTAAGTCTTTCCTTCTACTGTTTCACTTTTAAGTAACAAGGTTATAAAAATGCAAATACCATCTCAGGGTTGTTAATAACTAATATTGGGAAGAATTCCTGCAAGTTGTAAAACATTTTTTTTTTTTTTTTTGTAAACAAAACCGAACCTGGGTGAGGCGGCTCCTTGTATTTTACGATGGCCTCATGAAAATAATATTTGGGGGGAAAAAAAAAAAATGGGGGGGGGACTTGCAGCTTGATCCAGCCTTGCTGTGTTGAGCATCATAAATCAATGGGAACTGCTCCATGCAGCTAATGATAAGGTGGTATTTGTTGTTTACCCCGCTCTATGGTAATGGCTCGTGAGGAGGAGGGTGCCGTGTCCTTCCTGGAGGAGCAGGAGTAATCCGTGATGTGGTGACAGAGTAACAGAAACCACATCTATTATCAGAGATCTATAAATGAATCATATTATCCCACGTTTTTAGGCTTACTAGAGCGCTCATTTTCAGAAACTTACATCAAGCATTGTGCAAGGATGAAAAGTAGTATTTTTCCATCCCCCGTACGAGGCAGAGGGAATTCATGATGCAATCTCACACCCGGATGGGGAATTTTTACCCGTTAAAATTTTGAAGTAAGATGCTAAAGCATGATTACATCTAGGAAGACTGTAATCTGTCGGTGACGCGCTCCTCTCGGAAGGACGGGCTGTGGATTAATGGGGCGGCCCAGCCCGGGGAGCGCTCTGGGACCCCGGCTTGGAGGTACAGTTTGATCTCTTTGAAAGGCTAATGGTGGTACTAAAAGAAAAAATAAAACACAAGAAAAAGCCTCAAA